AAAAAGTGGAGAGCAAGCTTGGAAGGGAAAGGGCAGGGCCAGAGGGAAAAGGACCCCCGATTTGAACAGATGGGGTTGGATTTAACACGGGGACGCAGGCTTTGCCACTCAACCTCAGTAAACAAGAAAGTACGGTACAAGCCGGAGGTGGGCGGGGCCTGGACCAGGAGGTTGTGAGCCCCTTTTTGGCTAGACTGGCTTACTCAAAGATCTATTCCTTAATAAAAGCAATCTCTGGAGAGATGACAAAAATCTCCGTGGTCAGAGATTTTCAATTTTGACTACATGTAGGAATCACTTGGGAAAACTTTAGAAAAAGATGTCAGAATGGCCGGGTGGTGGTGGCGCACGCCTTTAATCCCAGCAGAGGCAGGCAGATCTCTATGAGTTCGAGACTAGCCTGGTCTACAAGAGCTAGTTCCAGGACAGCCTCCAAAGCCACAGAGAAACTCTGTCTCGAAAAAACAAACAAAACAAAACAAAACAAAACGATGTCAGAATGTGACCCCGGGGGACAGAGGCAAGAGGATCAGGAGTTCAAGGCCATCTTTGGCCACATAGTGTTCAAGGCCAGTGTGGACTACATGAGACCTTGTCTCAAAAGGAAAAAAAGAGAGACGTGAGTCCCATTCCAAGACATTAGTATTAAATTGGTTCATTGTGCGACATGAATAGATTTGGGACCAGGACCAAGGAGTGGACAAACATAGGGGGCTCCTGACCACTCACCCCCTTTCCCCTCTTCTTTTTCCTACGGGTTCCTTTTCGGAAGCCTCCTTTGCCTACACGCCTGCAGGTAAGCAGCTCTACTCTCTGGGATTCAGAACCCCAGTACCAGCTCTTTACTTAGCAGTTTCCCCCTTCATCTTCCCCAGTGTCCTTTCCACACTCAGAGGGCCTTTCTGGAGCCAGTGCTAGGTAAGAAAGTGACCTTTCTAACGATGCTTGTTTCTACAGAGAATGCCCCATGCACTCCAGGCTTGAGCACCTCTCTGTGTTCAGCCCCTCCCAGTTCCTACCCCTAACCATCATTTCTATCCGGTGACTCTTGATTCCCGATACCTTCCTCCCTGTGCTGGCCTCTTTTGGCTCCCCATTCCCAATATTCACCTGCTCCCCCTCAGGCCACCCATGGGCCTTGGCCCTGCTGCCTACCCATGGCTGGCAGACTCCTGGCCCCATCCATCTCGAAGTCCCTCAGCCCAGGAACCCCGGGGAAGCTGCTGCCCCAGCAATCCTGACCCAGATGATAGATACTACAATGGTGAGGAGCTCTAATCCCTTAAGGGCACACTTACCACCCCACCCACTTCTTACTCTGTCAGCCTCCTGGGGCAAATGGAAGGGAGCTGAGGAACCCTGGTCTTCCTGAAGTTGCTTAGTCCTTGGAGAACTGGGGCATGGACCTTGGTCTTAAGTCATAGAACGGCTATCAAATCTTAACCTTTGCCTTGGTTTGACATGTCAGATTTGGGGTGGGGGAGGAAGTTGATCCCATGGCATCCCCTTCTGCCTTCTGTTTTCCTTTGTCCCCTATGTTTGTGTGTCTGCCTCCTCCCCTGGGCCTCCCTCTTTCTCCTCTCCAGAAGCAGGAATCTCACTGTATTTGGCTCAGACTGCCCGGGGTGCCAATGCCCCCGGTGAGGGTCCCGTCTACAGCACCATTGACCCAGTAGGGGAAGAACTGCAGACCTTCCATGGAGGGTTCCCTCAGCATTCTTCTGGGGATCCAAGCACCTGGAGCCAGTATGCTCCTCCTGAGTGGAGTGAGGGGGACAGTGGTATGACCCCAATTCTTAACCTCCCCATTTCAGTCCTATCCGCAATTTCCTCCGTCCTCAGGCACCGGCCTGTCACTTCCTCTGACATTTTACCTCATTTCTGGCTCTTTCCTGCATGCTCCTGGTGTGCCCTTATCTCTTCTCCTCAGGAGCCAGAGGCGGCAAGGTGAAGCTTCTGGGCAAACCTGTACAGATGCCCTCTTTGAGCTGGCCAGAAGCCTTGCCACCACCTCCACCTTCCTGTGAACTAAGCTGTCCTGAGGGGCCTGAGGAGGAGCTGAAGGGCAGGTAACGATACTGCCAGCAGCAGATGCTCCTCACATATAGATAAGCCCAGAACATTCTAGGACAGGAAGTAGGCAGAGATGGTGTGTGTGTGTGTGTGTGTGTGTGTGTGTGTGTGTGTGTGAAGCTATTCAGCCCTTCTCTTCTCATCTGCCTTTTCCACCCCAGTTCAGACCTGGAAGAGTGGTGCCCACCAGTGCCTGAGAAAAACCACTTGATTGAGTCAAACTCCAGTGGCGCATGCCTGGTGGCTCCATCCCAAGGGGAAACTCCCTCCCCTACCTCTTCTTATGGACAGCAGTCCACAGCCACTCTTACCCCTTCACCTCCTGATCCTCCCCAGCCCTCTACTGATATCTCCCATCTCCACCAGGTGCCCAGGTAAGGATGTGTAGAATTCCCTGCACAATATAGACCCTCAGTATACATTTATTCAGTAGGTGGATGGCTGGGTGGGTGGATAGTTGAAGGGGGTACAGAGGTCTTATGGCTGTGCTCAAGTTGAAGCCCGATGTGGTGAGGAAGGTGAAGTCTGACAGAACTCTCGCTCATCTTTCAGGCTGTTTCTCTTTGGAGTGGGTCTGCAAACATCTAAGGCATTACATGCAAACATGGATGTCCTCATGCTTCCCTAGTTTGAGGCCTTGTGGTGGACAGATCATATCTTTAACATTGAGTATTTGGCCGAGCACACAGTGCGATGCCTGGTACATAGTAAGCTCTTGGTTTTATGGGGTGAACAAATGCTGAGACCTTATATCATTGCAGGAGGGCACCCCTTGGGCCAAGTTCTCCACTCAGTGTATCCCAGCCCACTCTGAGTAACCATGATGGGAGACCTGCAGGCATGGGTGCTGGCCCCACAGTCTCCTATCACGTCAGCTGCAGTCCTGTGCCTAGTACACCCAGCAGTGCCCCAGGTGAGCCTGCTGACACTCAACCTGCTCCCACCTCACTGTACCCCTCAAAGCTTATTTTCCCCTTTACCTTCAACCTTCTTTCTCAGTGCCTTCCCATATCTGCCCCCATTTTGTCTCCTAACACTACAGGGAGAACCCGCCAGGTGACTGGAGAGATGACACCTCCACTCCATGGACACCGTGCCCGAATCCGGAAGAAACCCAAGGCTCTTCCTTACAGAAGGGAGAACAGTCCTGGGGGTGAGGGGAGTCCTGGGTCTGGGAGATGGTGATAGCCAGTAGAGAGAATGGGAAGGATACCAAGAGGATGGAGTAGGTGTCACCCAACCTGGGGTCATTTCCTTGCCTCCCAGTGTCAGGGGTTGGATAGGAGATGTTTTAGTGTCAGGAGAAAGCAGGAGACACTGCTGAACAGAGGTTTCTCCCCAGACTTGCCCCCACCACCCTTGCCACCACCAGAGGAAGAAACAAGCTGGCCCTTGGGGCTGACAGCAGCAGGCAGCTCCTCCTCCCTAGAGCGCGAGCGCAGTGGAGAGAGGAGAGTGGTGCAGGCAGTACCTTACCACGTTGGGCCCCACCCAGATGGTAAGGAGAACCAGGGAAGGTGGCCCAGGGAAGGTGGCAAGGGGGGGTGGGAGGTGAGGGGGTAGTAGGACTGGAAGCCCACACAAGTCCCCAGGGTCCCCAGTTCACCAGCTACCTTCAGATGAATTAAATCATCTGGTCAACATTGATGTTGACTCCTGTGTCTCACAAGCTCTAAGCAAACTTACCAGCTACCTTCAGCTGGATTAGTGTATCTGGTCAACATTGATGTTGACTCCTGTGTCTCACAAGCTCTAAGCAAAAGTCCTCAATTATAAACCTTAGGACTGAAGCAGAGGATGAGGAAAAGTGGGATCTGGGTGGTGTCCTCCCTTCCCTAAGTGCTCTGTGCTCTGGAATACCTCACATGTTTCTGAATCCTTGTCATGCCAAGGTCACATGTTAGGCATTCTGCTTCTCTTTAACCCTCAACCAGTCAGAGCCTATCAACTGTCCCTCAGTCATTACCCAGAGCTGGGAGAGTGCACAGGGTAGCCAGTGGACAAGCAGTGACAGTCTGCTTCCCTCCACGGGCCCAGCTGCACTTCTGGGTTGTGCTACAGAAGAGGCCTGGCTCCCATACGGCAGACCAAGCTTCCTGAGCCATGGCCAGGGCACCGGCACCTGTTCTACTGCTGGCAGCAATTCTTCCAGGGGTTCCAACAGCTCTCGAGGTTCTCGGGGCTCTCGGGGCCCTGGACGCAGCCGAAGCCGAAGCCGGAGCCAGAGCCAGAGACCAGGACAGAAACGTCGAGAGGTGGGAACCACAGAAACTAAAGAAACAGAGCAGAGGGCTGGGAAAATAGGCCAAAGGGAAACAGGCAAGGAGTGAAGGGCTTGCCAAGGACATAAGAGAGGGCCCAGAGGCATTTTAAGAGTGGAGACCTTGTGAAGAAATGACAAGGGGTAAGGGCAGAAAGACACATGAGAGTGGAGCCTGGGTATACCATAGAAGTGGACCAGAGGAAATGCTGATCCCTTATGTGTGGCTTGTCACAAAATAGCACTGTTCCCTCGTCCATACCCCTTTCTCCATAGGAACCAAGATGACCCTTCATGAAGCATGAGCTTATTGAAAATTCCACAGGGAAAGGGTGGGAACCCCTTCCTTGGTCGGCATATGTGAGCCAAGAGGAGCAAGGATGGGGCTGGCTGCCTTCCTCCCAGCAATGATGCTTGCGACTCACTGAAGCCCACTGTCCTCAACAGCTTTAGTTGTCTCGGGAGCCAGAGAAATAGCTCATTCCTTTCCATCTTTTTTTTTCTGAGTGACATGTGTTTGTATAAAAGGGAAAAAAAGTCCAATATGAGCCCTGTGCCCTGATTGTCTGTTTTGTGCAGTTTTGTGAGCAGAGCAGGCCGTGAAGGTCTGTAGATCAAATCACACTGGTTGCTTCTGCATCCTCTTGAACTTCTGTCAAAATCACAATATGAGAACAGATGATAAGTGACACTGGCCTGCTTCCCAGAGGAACTGAAGCCACCATCCACCAGTGTGTTAGTCCGCTATTTACTGACATACAACCAGCTTAAGGGAGGAGGGGTTTCTTGGGGCTCAGCTTTTCAGGACTGAGCCCAGGGTTGGCTGGATTTTGTTTGTGTGGCTATGGTGAGGCAGAGCTTCATGGTGGAGCAAAGCTACTCACCTCATAACAGCCAGGAAGCAGAAAGAAACATACAAGTAGCAATCAAGGCAAGACATATCTTTCAAAGACATGATTCCAGTGACTTCCTCCAGTCATACCCTACCTCCCAGAAGTCCATAGATCAGTGTTCCTCAACCTTCCTAATACTACGACCCTTTAATATAGTTCCTCATGTTGTGGTGCCCCCCAGCCATAAAATTACTTTTGTTGCTATTTCATAACTGTATTTTGCTACTGTTATGAATTATAATGTAAATATCTGATATACAGGATGATCTTAGGTGATCTCCGTGAAAGGGTTATTTGATCCCCCCTCCCCAAAGGGATCGCAGCCGCTAGGTTGAGAATCATAGATGAAGTTAGTGCCTTCATGATCCAGTCATCTCTCAGTGACACCAGCTAAGGTACAGTCTTTCACCATATAGGCATGTTGGAGAGACATTTTATATCTAAACCATAATACCCTGTTACAACTATGGGAATATTCAAATAGCCAACATATAGATCATTGTCACCCCTTCAGAGAACTAGGCCAAGTTCTTTGGTGCCTTCCTCCAGGGTCGGTCTGCTCTTCTGTAAGAGAACATTCACCTCACAATAGATATGTTAAAAACAACAACAACAACAACAACAAAAACCAAAACAAACAAAAAAACCCAAAGAGACCCAGGATGGTAGCATTTGCCTGTAATCACAACACCTTGGGAGGTGGAGGAGGAAAGATTTGGAGTTCAAGGCCAGTCTCAGCTATACAGCGAGTTTGAGGTCAGCCTGGACTACATGAAACCTTGTCTCCAACAAAACAAAATACTGTGTGAATGAAATCTCACTCAAGAAGAAAGTACATGCCTCTGCATGGCCCCAAGCTCCTTCACACAACGTGTCCGCAAAGGGTTCCTCTTGACTACATTGGATCTAGAGTTTGTCTGTCACAGCCACTGTCACTCTCATCCCACAGCTGACGCATGTGTTGGCTGCTTGAAATCCTCTTTGCTTCTTGCCTGCTCTGTCCTCAGTTCTCTAAATAGCTTGGCCCTCCAGAGCCATGACCTTGCCCCCCACTTTGACCTGAATATTTGTGTGTTCAAATCCCCCTTTCCCTTCAGTCTGGCAAACAGAGTTGGAATGGTTTCAAAGGGAATTTTGCCAGAAAGCTAAAGAAAAAAAATCTGAAACAGCAAAAATTGAACGGATGTGTATCCGGGATGCTCATTGTTCTTTTCAAGATCCTGCAAACCAGTTGGGCTGCTTCACTGAGCTCAGCAATCAGCCACCCTGGTCACACCTGCTTGGCTTCCTAACTGAGTGGTCTCCAGGAAGAGGTGCTGGGGTTAGGGAACTAACTGAAAGCATTGAGCCTGCTACTGAATCACACCCTCCCTCCACACACACCAGAGGGATCTTCTTTGACCATGGTAATGCTCTACAGCACAACCCCAACCTGAGTTCTGTCCATGACCTGTCCCACCAGATGTGGGAGATGCAGGTAGCCTGCCCTCTAGTGACTTTCAGTGAGTGGCTCAGGGTTCAGAAGTCCTCCACCAATATCCATCTCTGCCCCGTCATTTTTGGTTTTTTCTTTTTTCTTTTTTTCTTTTTCTTTTTTCTAAACAGTGTTCACTAGCCAAGTATCCCAGGTGATTCTACCTTTTTGGAATTTAGCTGCTTGTCTATTTTTAAGACACCATCTGGAACTGGACTTTAGGGAGCAGGGCTGGGGATGCAGGAAACAGGAATTGGCTCCCCAAGATCCACAGATCCTTTGACACCCCTACTCTTTTCCAACTACATTCTGCTTAAACTTGCTGGATATACCCCATCCCCTTGGATTGAAGACCAGAAACGAGGACATTCCCTGAGTAACAATGAATACTTGATTCTCTCTCCAGCCAGGTAACTCTTACATCTCTGCAGGTGCCCTTCCCAAAATAAAACCCAAGGAATGACAGCATAGAACTCAAGTGTTTACGGTTTTATAGAATCAAATTCGTAAAGCTCTCAGTGGCAATGGCATGAGGATAGTGCTTTGGTTCTTCTGCTTTTTTTTTCATCAGCCTCCTCCATTAACCCAACTTTGAAGTGTTGACCGTGAACTAGACAGGACCCATGGCATCCGTGATCTTCCTCCTTTATTTTCCTCGAATGGTGTGGCTGAAGGGAAAGGGCTGAGCTGGCCTCTAAGGGAAGAGTCCGAGTAGAGATGAGAGGGCTCCTCTAAGTGTCCTCCACTGTAGCCCTCTCCAACAGCCATTTCTGCCCTCCATGAAGACACCATTGGCTTCCCTTCTTCCCATGATCCACATGGGTGGGAGATCAGGAGCCAGGCTTACTTAGGCCAAAGGCCCTGGTTGTGGGAGAGAGTCTAGTGTATGAAGATGCTGTCTTGCTCTCAGTGGGAATCCAAGGCTCCCTAGATCACAGTTTGGTTTACTTTCTTCTGTTTTAACAATCCCAGTGACAGAACTCTCCAGAAACCCAGTGATAATGGGCCTCTGCTACAGAGAAGCAAAGGCTAAGACCCACACCTGTGGGAAGGCCTGAGGACAGGCAGGAGAATGGTCTGGGTGCTCTTCTGGCCATCTCAGGGACAATTCAGGAGGAATCTGGAAGTAGAAGAGTAAAATTACGACCAGACCCCAGGCTCCTTTTGGACTCTTCTCCAGGGCTTCTCAATCGTCTGGCTTCCACTCCCACAGAGGCAGAGAGAAACTTCGGGTGAGGAGGAGATCATCCCGAGGGGAGGGAGGGGAGGAAGCATCTAATAAGGGAGGCAGATTGTCAGCAGGAGGTTCAACCCTTAGCTCCTAAGGACCCAATTTATGACAGAAATCTTAGGATTGGTTTGGGGTACACATACATCATCACCCCTAAAGGTGACCTAGCCTCTCAGTCCATCAGTTCCAGTGGCTGCAGCCCCTGGGCCTGGCATATGTGTTTCTTTACAGAGCAGTCTGATGTGTTTTCTCCCACTCTTCCTTTATGAGCCTTGAGTGGCCTCTTCCCTGTGTGATGGGCACTTCTGACCTGGATGGTTTTTGTCCTGTCATTTCCTATAAGCCTCGTTGTTTTCCTTGAGGCTAAAAGGTAGAGTATGGGTAAGATACATGTGCAGAATTTCTCTCTCTCTCTCTCTCTCTCTCTCTCTCTCTCTCTGTGTGTGTGTGTGTGTGTAGGGTGAACTTCCAAGGGACCAGTGAGCACCAAATCACCCCCTGCTGACATGGAGAGAGACTGAGCCCAGGTATTCCTCATCCTCAGCCAGGAATAGGCAATCATGAGGCTTGGGAGCATAGCAGGATCAAGGAGGCATATGAAATGCCAGTTGAAAGAAGACTGACTGTGGAGTAGCTCTTCCTGGGACCCACATTTGGGGAGGTGGGAGTGGGAGTTTGGGCCACCCAGCTGGATCCTCCAGGCTTCAGAATTGGACCATTTGTCTTGATCTATGGGGGATCTTGAGTGAGTTAATACCTCTATCTGACCTAGTGTTTCCTGATTCGGAAAAAAGAGGTAAAGAATACTCCTCCTGGAATTCTTAACAATGCGGTGAAGCACTTCCTAGGACGTATCAATCATTCAGTAAAAACTACCTTTCCCCCTTTTGAGATAAAATATTACTGTGGAGCTCAGGCTGGCCTGGAATTCATAACTTTCCGGTTTCAGCTTCCTAAATGCTGAAATTTCAGGCACATGCAAACACACCTCAATAACACTAATTGTTTAAATGACACTTAGGGTAATGATTACTAGGAAGTCTTGACTCTTCCTTAGGGACAAAGGGAGCTTGTCCATTCCAAGGGAGGCAGGTGGCCCCACATACCGGTGAAGACACAGTCAGCTTCCCTGGGCTCCAGACCAAAACCAAAACTATCCACAGCCACTGCCAGGGCACGGGCAAAGTGAGCGTCTGCAAGGAAGGAGCCATCGGAGGAGCTGACCAGGCTGGCCCTGGCACTGGGGGCATTGTCCTCAGAAGCTGAGCCCCAACCATTGGCCAGGGAGCCCTCGCTGGGGGTAGGGGTGGGGCAGGGCCGAGGTGGGCACAATAAG